TTCGAGCAATGTTATAATATTTATTTTATAGACTCTCAGAATGTTTATTTAATTGGATTGTATACGAGAAAAAAAATTGTGCCGAAATTTCGTGTCCATCATCACAAAGGTCAATAAATGTGTAGGTTGGCTCGCGAATTATCGTTTCAAGAGTTTTTTTCTATCAATCTTGACATTCTAAATGAAGGAATTTCAAGATCGTTGGATGTCGAATAGATTTTTTATAAACTCTTTGTTATTTTTGTTTCGAACACTTGATGATTGATAAAAATGTAGCTGTCAGAGATAATGGTAATAAAAAATACAGTCAAGTGTCTGACACATATTGTTTTAGAATTGAACAATGCTAAACGTTCTATTTCTTGCTAGATTTTTTTTCCATAGGTTACCTCTCCAAATATCCAAATATACAATTATACAATAATCAAACTTACAAACTTACAACTACCAAATATGCTAATACAATAAATATACAAATATTTAATTATACAAATATACAAATTTTAAAAAATACCAATATAAAAATCTACAAATTTAGAAACGTACCAATTTATGAATACACATTTAAAAATATGTAAGGGAATTTGATATTGTACAAATATATAAATTAAAAACATACAAACATACAAATTGCAAAAATGTACAAATGTACAAATATAAAAATTTACGTATACAAATATGAAATCGTAAATATGTACAAACTTGTAAATACAAAAGAAAATGCAATAACAGACAATTATACAACTATAAATTTAAAAATACACAAATATATCGAGTTTTAAAAGTTTACAAATTTGCAATTTTACATATATACAAACACAAGTATGAAAAATTAACAAGTTTAAAAATGTACAAATTTATAAATATACAAATTTAAAAATATACAAATATATAAATTAAAATAAAATACACAGTTAAAACTGTAAAAAATTAAAGAGGAAGAAATTTACAATTTTATAAATTTGATAAATAAACAAATTTGTAAATATATATAACTTTATAAACATACAGATTCAAAATATATACTAATTTATAAATAGATAAATTTAAAACTTACCACTTACATATAAAAATATACAAATATACAGATATACAAATATATAGATATACAAATATACACATTTACAAATCTATAAATGTACAAATTTACAATTATACAAATTTACAAACACACAAGCTCACATTCGTATACAAGTGTACAAATTTGTACAAATGTACAAAGTCAAAAATATACAAATATACAAATTTACAATTATACAAATTTACAAATATACAAATTAACAAATATAAAAATTTACAAATACACAAATTTACAATTTTACAATTATTCAATAAGACAAATATACAAATTTACAATTATACAAATAGACAAATGTACAAATTGACAGATATACAAACTTAAAGATATACAAATACACAAATTTACAGATTTAAAAATATACAAATATACAAATATACAAGTTTACAAATGTATAAATACACGAATATACAAATGTATAAATATACAAATATACAAATATAGAAATATACAAATATACAAATATACAAATATACAAATATACAAATATACAAATATACAAATATACAAATATACAAATATACAAATATACAAATATACAAATATACAAATATACAAATATACAAATACAAATACAAATATACAAATAGACAAATACAAATATACAAATATACAAATATACAATATACAAATATACAAATATACAAATATACAAATATACAAATATACAAATACAAATACAAATATACAATATACAAATATACAAATATACAAATATACAAATATACAAATATACAAATACAAATATACAAATATACAAATATACAAATATACAAATATACAAATATACAAATATACAAATATACAAATATACAAATATACAAATATACAAATATACAAATATACAAATATACAAATATACAAATATACAAATATACAAATATACAAATATACAAATATACAAATATACAAATATACAAATAAATTTATAAATTAACAAATGTACAATTCACAGATATACAAATATACAAATTTTCAAATATACAAATATACAAATTTACAAATATACAAATATACAAGTTTACAGATATAGATAAGTATTTAAAAATATATAAGTACTCAAATATAAAAAATTAAAAAAATACAAATTACAAAAATTTAAAATATGCAAATGCTAAATATACAAAAATATTTATTTTAAAAAAATTAATTGAATATTTAATGAAAGAAATTTATCTTTTTTTACAATTTATATTAAATTAAATAAATAGTATTTCACATAAAATAACTTCTTTTTTTAAATTATCAATATAACTTGTATCAATTATTTATTTATTTTGCAAAAAAAAAATTATATTTTAGTTAGTGTTTTTGTTCTTAAAAAATAAACTTTTATTCAATTATATATCACTTGTAAAATTCATGTAGATTTATATTCAAATCTACTATATAAAATTGCAAATTTACAAATTATTTTATAATTTGTATTTGTGATTTAACATTTTTTGTTAGAACAAAATAAATAGAAACTAGCTGTAAGTGGAATTCTGTCTTAAGGCAATTAAGGCATCGTGCCTTAAGGCAAATTGCTGGAACTTCCCGTGCCAAAAATTATTATTTTTTTAAAAACGATTAACATTTTTGCAAAAAATTTTACTTCGAAAAAATAAGATTTTTTAGAAATTTTAAATTGGACAAAAAATTACTTTTTTTTGAAAAAAAATTTTTTTTTAAAAAAAAATTTTAAACAATTTTTTTATAAAAATTTTTTTTTGGAAAAAATTTTATCTTCATTTTGATATATTTTGGAAGATCTGAACTTTTTTTCAAAGCAATCGTACTGCTTTAACAGCATAGAGACAAAATATAAAGCGCGTAAGCGCCGCGTCGCTGTCTAACGGAAAAACATTGGTACGGAACCTATAGGAATGTAAACAAAACATATTTATTGTTAAAATCTCAATAAAATATCTGATAATTTGATATGCATATGTCTAATGTCTAATGATTATTGTTGACCGCCAAATGGTATTTTTTTTTAGTTTTTTTTACTAGATCTCTGAAACCGCTAGACCTATCTTCATGAAAATTTGATCAAATCTTCGTCTTGTTAATACAAGTAAAATGTTTTTTGAACTATACAAATCTCTTAAAAACTGAGTTACCGTTTTTGGCCCTTTTTGCCCCATATCTTCGGAACGGCTAGAATATTTTTTGAATTATTCAAATTGCTTCATTCGTGTTACCGACGAAAGTTTGTATCCGAACACACACACATGCACGCACACACACACACACACATACATCAATTTTCTCCAAGGTATGCCAACATATTCAGAAACCTCTGAAACGTAAAAGATATATAAAAATTTTCATTTTCGATTTTTTTGCGATTACTTACCCTATGGAAAGTTAATTATAAATAAATCAATTTATCATCTCCAGAACATTAACAATCGTCATTTCATTTCGAATCAAATTCAAAAAAAAAATAGTTGCCAAATTTACACAAAATTGAAAAAGTGCTCCCGCATAGTCACAGTCTAAACGCATTTGCAAATAATTCTGTGCGACATTTTCACTTATACTGTGCTCATCTTGGCGGCATTTTCACATTTTTCAATAATTTTCACAAAATTGGAAAAGTGCTCCAGTACACAAACAGTCTAAACGCACTTGGGTAAACATTTGTACCAGAGTGGCGCTTAGACTGTGCTTAGCTTGGGTGATTTTTTGAATTTTTTTTTAATCCAAAATTACAAAAAAAAATTTTTGAAAAAAAAATTAGAAACAAAAAATTTTTTTTTCCAAAATCAATTATTTTGTTGAAAAAAGCAGAAAGTTCTTTGAATCATTTAAATCGGATGCTTAGTTCTCTCAAAAACAGCCATTTTTTTTAAATTTAGCTCTGTATCTCCGAAACCTCCGGGCCTACCTTTGCAAAAAACTAATCAGCACATCTCCCTATCAATAGGAATCGAATGTTTTTTAAACCATTCAAATCGGTTGATCCGTTCTCTCAAAAACTCGCTTTCTATTTTTTGCACTCTTTGCTCCATATCTCCGTAACGGCTGGACCTGCCTTTGCCAAAAACTAATCAGCACATCTCCCTATCAATAGGAATCGAATGTTTTTTAAACCATTCAAATCGGTTGATCCGTGCGCCCGAAAACGTGGACGAAAAAACGCGGACATACAAAACACACACACACACACACACACACACACATCCATTTTTTCTGAGGTATGCCAAAATGTTCAGAAACCTTCAAAACGTCGAGAAATGTAAAAATTTTTTATTTCGATTTTTGGACGATTACTATAACTTACCCTACGGGAAGTTAAAAAATCATAGAAAATATCTAATGACCAAAACAAAAATAATCTTAAAAAAAACGCATATCAAATTTATAGAAAGATTAATCTTCCTATAAAATTGATATGCGTTTTTTAAAATATATTTTAATTATAATATAATTCAAGGGTAGTTGTATAATATATATATATATATATATATATATATATATATATATATAGTTTGTATAATATATAAGATATATAATATATAATGCCAAATTATTTTTTAAAATAGTCAGTACGTCTCTGAATTACAAAATCGTTGGAAAAATTGAATAAGTAAATTATAAAATAACACGAAACCTAAAAACAAACAATCTATATATTTTATAAATAGTTAAATAATTTTTTATTATTCTGAAAATTATAAAATGTCTATATTACATAACAAACAGTACTACAATGCAACTAATTCATATTATTTTTATTTTCAGATTACCAGCAACCAGTATTTCTAAAAGGGGTCAAAAGCGAAGCAAAAATACGTCCAAAATTCATTTGTGATAAAAAGTGTATGTGATTCATAAAAAATATATTAACCAAACTATACATTAGTGTGATATCGTGAACAAATTGTGATCGTGCTTAGTCAAAATTGTATTTACCTGTGATTCGCATGTCCAACTCACCACCACCAAAAATCCTTCGAGGACCAACCTCGATTTTTACACCTTAAAACATTTTTTCTACCATGTTATCCTACATGCTCCCCGGTGAAGGAAAATCTTCATCCCCTCACCATGTTCACCAGACGATATCAAATCAGCAGAAGTCGAGGCTTCAATTGGACTTAGATACAAATTCTTTGGAATCTGCCCAGAATTCTGCACCTAAAATGACCCCTATTATCAGAACTGTCGAAGTCACAGAAACCAGATATAAGGAATTGAGGCATCCGATTACTGGCCAAGTTTTAGACGCCACCAGAGACCAACATGTCCAGGAGATGGTCTTTAGTGACCCTCAAGTTTTAAGGGATCGACTGGAAAAGACTATGATTAAACAAACCAACAGTGGACAGGTAATAATAGACACATTGTAGGTAGTGCAGTAAACGGAGAGGGAAAAACGGAAAAACCTCTGAATTTTTTTACTGTGCTCCAATTTGCATGAAATTTTGGAATTATGTTCATCTTAACCTCAAGTTTGAAAGTGAAAACAATTGGTGTTTCTCCACCAACCCATTGGGGAATTGCGATCCCTTAATAAAGTAGTGGTGTATGGCATCTTGTCTTGAGGCAAATTGCTGGAACTTCCCGTACCGTAATGAAATATTCGAGAACGATTTCAAATACATTATTACAAATACTGTAACTTTCATTATTTTTGCATTATCTTGTTATATCCGAGCAAATCAAATGTAAATCCTAAATCATAAATCAATTTATCTCCAGAACATTAACAATCATCATTTCATTTCGAATTCAATTTCAAAAAAATAGTTGCCCAATTTACACAAAATTGAAAAAGTGCACAAAATTGGAAAAGTGGGTAAACATTTGCACCAGAGTGGCGCTTAGACTGTGCTTAGCCTGGGTAATTCTTTGAATTTATAATCCAAACTTACAAAAACATTTTACGGAAAATAAAAAAAGATGTAATAATTTTTTATCCTCAAAAGCAATTGTTTTGTTAATACAAGCAGAAAGTTTTTTAGATCATTCAAATCGGACGCTTAGTTCACTCAAAAACTGTCATTTTTTGCACATTTAGCTCTGTATCTTCGAAGTGGCGGGACCTGTCTTTGCCAAAAACTAATCACCTCTTCTCCCAATCATTACAAGTTGAATGTTTTTTAGATCATTCAAATCCGATACTCCGTTCTCTCAAAAACTCGATTTGTATTTTCTGCACTCCTTGCTCCGTATCTCCGTAACGGCTGGACCTGCCTTTGCCAAAAAACTAATTAGCACATTTTCCTATCAATAGGAATCGAATGTTTTTTATCGCAAAAAAATTGTAAATGAAAATTTTTATATATCTTTACGTTTCAAAACCTTCTGAACATTTTGGAATACCTTAGGAAAAATGGATGTTTATGTGTATGTGTATGTTTTTAGAATTATTCAAATCGGACGCTCCGTTCTCTTAAAAACGAAGTTACGGTTTTTGGTACTTTTTGCCCCGTATCTTTGGAACGGCTAGACCTGCCTTCTCCAAAAACTAATCAGCTCGTCTCCTTATCAATACAAATCGAATGTTTTTTTAATTATTCAAATCGCTTCATCCGTGTTCCCGAAATCGTCGACAAAAATTTGTATCCGCACTCACATACATACACGCACACACACACATACATCCCTTTTTTGTAAGGTATGCCAAATGTTCATTTTCGATTTTTTTGCGATTACTATAACTGGCCCTACGGGAAGTTAATAAAAAACGACTTTGCTCTTTCAAATCTTGCTTAATATTATTCCTAGAACACTTCATAAAACACCGATTTATTGAGATTTTTATTGAAATTATTTTGTTCATTACATGATTTTCGTTAAAATGTATATTTTAGGAGATATTTGCAAAAAACGAAGAAAAACGCCAAAAATATGTCAATTTTTAGTGGCCAGTAACGTGAAAAGTATTATTTTTTTTAAAAAAACTATAAGAGACATTTTTGCTTATAATTAGTTCTTCTATCGATTTCCGACTTTATTTTGAAAAAAATGTGATTACACAATTGAGAATGGGTGTCGAAATTGTTTTCACTTTTGAACTTGTGGTCAAGATGAACCTAATTCCAAAATTTCATGTAATTCGGAGCACAGTAAAAAAATTCAGACCCAAAACGCTCCGTTTACTGCACTAATTGGTAATATCCAATAATATAATATTAATATTGTCTATAATTAAATATTTTTCTAGGTACCTTTCGAGAAAACAACCTACACCAAAACCCAAGCATATCCAATCCACCAACAATTTTCCACAAACAATAATAACACATCAGAAAAATCGCCCTACATGCAAATTTCTGGTGTCATAAAACACCAACCGGCTCTGTCAACCAAAAACGAAATAAATCGACAATTTATCTTAAACGAATCGACCAAACAAAGGATTCCAACGAACGCCACTGATTTTCAGAAGATCAATATGTCCAATAACGATAGTTCGATGTCGAATAAGTATTTTAATGATAGTGGTGTCAGTACTGGTGATGAGGAGTCTGGTAGTGCTGCAGGGGGCCCTGCAACCAGCCCTTCGGCGAGTGATACCAGTACGCCACTGGCTCATAATGCTGGGAAGAAGTTGCTGCAGGGACAGGGGAAACCAGGACTTAAGAGGTCAGTAAATAGATTAATAAATTATTATGTAACACCATTGGAGATATTTACTTGTGCATCTGGTTTCTGGGTTGATAAATATTTTAAAATTTTGACTCCAAAATTTATTAGAAAAAAAATCATTGACCTGATTTTTGAAGACTTATTTAGATGATGCATCTAGTTATGCAATAAAGACTTAGTTCACCATTTAGATTCAAAAAAATATTAGATTTTGACTAATTGATCTGATTGGTCAACTAAGATTTTATTTTTCAACATTGATTTTTATAAATATGAAAGAGTTATGTGGAGATTTTTTTTCTCCCTGATTACAGGCTTGGTTTGTTATCATTTAGGAAATATTTTTAGATTTTGATATATTGTTCTGGCTAATTTCAAAATCTAATAGAAGTGTTCAGAAGTTATTTGGACTATTTGTTTTGACTTTGATGAATCTAAACTGTACATACTATTTTAGATGGACCAGGAAGAGTTTCAATATTTCTATAAATTGCTTTTTCTGCCTTCAAAATTTATTAAAAGAGTTGTGTAGAGATTTTTTTGTTAAAAAAAATGGTGTAAATAATATCTGATTTCTAATTTGCATCCTGAACTTAGGATTAATTGATCTGATTCATCAACTAAGATTTTATTTTTCAAAATTGATTTTTATTAATACAGATACAGCTTTTTATGAATGATGCATCTAGTTTTGCATTCAGAAAATATTTCTCGATTCCGAAAAATTGTCTGATTTCAAAATCTAATAGAAGAGTTCAGATGTTATTTGGGAAATTGGTTTTGCCAAATTTTACTTTGATAAATTTAATTTCTCTATTTTAAATGAATCAAGAAAGGTTTCAATATTTCTATAAATAAATTGTTTTAAATTAAAATATTTAAATTGTTCTTACTGACTTCAAAATTTATTGAATATATTTAGCACTTGTGCATCTAGTTTTGAGTTTAAGAAATATTTTGTATCATCTGACTTCAAATTTTGTTGGATGAGGTCATTAGATTGGATTTTTTTTCAAATCTGATTTTAATAAATCTGATTTTTAAAGACTGATTCAGTGTATGCATCTGGTTTTGCAATTTAAAATTTGTTCACGATTTAGATTAATTAACTTCCCGAAGGAGAAGTTTATGTTTTCATCAAAAAATCCGATTCGCTAATTTCATATTTTTTCTACGTTTCAAGCCATTCTGAATCGAATGAGACCAGCATTGGGAAAAAGAATGTGTGTGTGTGTATGTGTGTGAACAGATTTTTTGCCGTAAATCGATGTTTTCTCCGAAACGGCTCGACCGATTTCAAAAATTTAAAAGCCATTCCATGTATCTCGATGAGGACTAGCGTTTCTGAGTTTTGTGCGACGATCGGCCGGGTCGTTTCTTTGTAAATCGCAGAAAAGTGAAAAAAATTTCGTCCTTGTTTTAGCCCGCAAATCTGAATCGATTTTGAAAATTCAAAAATCGTTCGAAAGATATTGGTTGGGAATCGTGCTGATTGGTTTTTGGTAAAGATCGGCCGGGCCGTTTTCTTATAATAAAGTTTAAAAAAAAATTCGACGATTTTTATGATTTTTTTTGACGGTAGATACCATAGTCTTGTAGATCATACTGAAGTATTACGGCCCTTCGGCAAGTCGTTTAATCTTAAAAATTCTTCAAAGTTTGAAATAATTAGTATCGTTCTTTTGGCATTTGTCAAAATTAGACCTTTGATCGACGTTTTCTCAAAAAGGCCTTATCCGATTTCAGAATTTTAAAAGCCATTTGATGTATCTCAATGAGGACTATCGTTTGTCAGATGATCTGTCAAGCCGTTTTTTTGTAATTTAAAAAAACGTGTTAAACTTTTCGTCCACATTTAAGCTCATACTACCGAATCGATTTTAAAAAATCAAAAACTGTTTGAAATATATTAGTTGGGAATGATACTGATTAGTTTTAGGTGAAAATGTACCGAGCCGTTTTCTTGTAATTAACTGTTGAACAAAAAATTTAAGCCGATTTTCATAGAACTTTTTTTGGCGACATATATCATGGTCTTATAGAACTTACTGAAATATTGCGGCCGTTTATACAAGTCGTTTAATTTTAAAAATTCATCAAAGTTTGAGAAAATGAGTAGTTTTTTTGACATTTGTTAAAATTAAAATTAGACAATTTACTTGGTATAACGATACAAGACTTTGTCTTATTGAACATACTAATTCATTAAAGTCCTACGGAAACTGGTTCATTTATAAAAATTATTGATTTTTGAAAATTTGCTTTTAGAAAATACGTCGAGTTAACGCGTTCGTTCGTTTTCAATTATGTATAATAAATCCACTCGGAAAACTTTTAATCGCTCATAAATTAATTTATTTTTTATTGATTAAGTCGATTATTTACACTTATCGGAAAATCCATGTAACTTGCCTCAAGGCAAAATACCAATACCAACTAGTTTAAATATTTAGTTCATTCCACACAAATTAACTATTTAGATCCACATTTGTTTGTATTTTCACGGTTTATCGCATTTTGAGGAGGATTTTCGCTTGAATGGTCCTCTGACAATAAAAGCATTATCATCTGCGTTCTATTAGAGAACAATTTGAATCTGGGCCAAATGCACGATTGTCATTCTATCATATATATATATATATATATATATATATATATATATATATATATTTGTATATAATTGGCCAAATGACAAACAAACTACAGATGAGATGAGAATAATCTGAATAATAGACATTGCTATCAGACTTTAATGTGCTGAAAGCGTTTCCAGACCAAATAGCTTGTGATTTTACTCTAACTTTATTACGATGTATGTCCCCAATGAAGTCCTGAACTACTGAACCGATTTTAAATTTTATTGCCTTTCATGCATTTTTATTCAACTTATAAGCAACATTAAAAATTTTAGTTCATATTCGAAATGTTAGAATTTTGGTTGTGAATTTTAAGAAAACAAAATTGTGGATAGACAGTTGTCAATGTTTGAAGAAAATTTTAAGTTTGAAGAAATTTCTAAAATTAAACTACTTGTCGTAAGGCCGTAATATTTCAGTAAGTTGTATAAGACCATGATATATATCACCAAGAAAACCATAACAATCGGTTTAATTTTTTTTTCAACGGTTAATTACAAGAAAACGGCTCGGTAGATTTTCACCTAAAACTAATCAGTACCATTCCCAACTAATATCTTTCGAACAGTTTTTAATTTTTTAAAATCGATTCGGTAGTATGAGCTTAAATGTGGACGAAAAGTTTAACACATTTTTTCAAATTACAAAGAATCGGCTTGGCAGATAGTCGCAAAGAACTGAAAAACGATAGTCCTCATTGAGATACATCAAATGGTTTTTAAATTTCTGAAATTGGTTTAGGCGTTTTTGAGCAAACGCCGATGAAGGGTCTAATTTTGACAAATGCTAAAAAAACGATACTAATTTTTGCAAACTTTGACGAATTTTTAAAGCTAAATGAGTTATCGTAGGGCCGTAATATTTTAGTATGATCTAGAAGACTATGGTATCTACCGACAAAAAAATCATAAAAATCGGCAAACAAATTTTCAAATTTTTTATTTCATTTGTTTCAGAATGGCTTGAAACGTCGAGAAAACATAAAATTAGCGAATCGGATTTTTTGATGAAATCATAAACTTTACCTTCGGGAAGTTAATAATATATATTATATTATATTTATTCATTTCGACTTGTTTCATACATATTGTCATTAGAGAAAGTTCGAAGACACCATCGATCAATTATTGTCAACCGTCAACAAATTGCACAATTGGCAAATTTATGACTCTATTTCAATTTTTGAACAGAGCAATAAAATAGAGATTGCAAAATATTCCAACAAATTAAAAATTGTCAAACGCCAACTACCAAGCAAATAAATCAAATAATTCCGACATCATTTCCATTTTTTCTATAACCTAATTCCTAGTACTATTTTTGGATCAATTTAGTAATTACCAACCTTGGCCTGTAGTCGTACCATATACAAAGTAATTGGTAGAAAGTCTTTTTACTGCGGCAGTAATTACTAGAAAGTAACAACGGCATATAATAGGAGAAAGAGACAATTTAAATTAGACGCTTTTTTTGTTGACATTTTTTTTTTCAAAGTTTTCGATTTACCTTGGCAGACCTTGCCGGAGGAAGTTGGAAATTAATTAGAAAAAAATTCATTGATAATTGAGTAAAGTCACAGAGCACAATTTCTATACAAATGAATATTTTTTTAAATTTCCAAAGACGTTTAAGTAATTAACTACATTAACTACACTTTAGAGAAGGCAACCCAAACGGTTGTCTCATCTCTATAAATTTATCATAACAATTCATGTAATACTGATGATTTTTTTTGTGTATCAATGCTAAAAGGGCTATTTTCGAATCCAAAATCCAAATATATGTTAAACTAAAGTTTATTTATTGATTGCCATATAAATATTAAACTTCATGGAGTCAATACAAACAGGAGAAATGCCAAACTAGTATTACACACACATTTTCGATCTATTGTATTAATCTTTTGTCTGGCTATTTTTAAAGTTTTGTCATTAATAATTAATTTTTAAAGGCCTACCTAGCCCACTATTACATCATCTATTCTTTGAATAACATTGAATGAGCAATTATATTTTTGGCTACAATTATATTCAATAGCAGGCAATCATAAAATAATTCTAATTTTACCCTAAAGTTCTAAATATATTGAAATATTTATAAACAAACATAATATCGTGAAAATTTTGCAATATTTTATTAGAGCTTTATTAACGTTTATACTTTTTATGCCTTAAAATTTTGAAAAAAACTAGAGCTCAGATTATGAATTAAAAATTAGTTTTTTTTAGAAGGACAGTTAAGGTCTATACTATTACCTGTTTTGGTTTGACGTCAAGTTCTGGGATACCATGTATATATATATATATATATATATATATATATATATATATGTGTGTGTGTGTGTGTATATCTATTCATGAT